CAGGTGACTTATACCGATAAATATCACAGTGAATGTCAGTCTATCTATTCTCATCCACAGAAACACACTGATTTATACTATCCTAATGAAAAGGCTAAATATTATGCACTATAGGAAGGAGTGTAATACAAACCATAATTCTGAATTAAAATATCATCTCTCTCTCTCTCTCTCTCTCTCTCCCTCCCTCCTTCTCTTCCTCTCCCTCCCTCCCTCTCTCTCTGCCCTCCGTTGTTGTGTATGCTGTGTAATTTCCGTTGATAGCAGTCCAGAATGGGAAAATATACCGTGACATAATCTACAACAGTGTATCTCAACCATGGCAGCTTGAAGATGTATGGACTTCAACTCCCAGAATTCCCCAGCTGGGAGTTGAAACCCACATATCTTCAAGCTTCCAGGGTTGAAATATACTGTGCTAGCAGTAAATGATACTGTGCAGTAGAGAAGGGAATTGGCACTGGGATATAATTTCTGTCATTTCCAATTTCATACATGTGGCCAAATTCCACCCTAACAATGAAAAATATTAGGTGTTATGACTTCCATCGATTTTAAATCATTGCACACCAGTTTCCATAGGTTAAGGTGTTTGCATACCCATAACACAACCGAGTCAATTTCCTTCATAAAGCTGTGAAGAAAAGGTGAGCCAGGAAATGCTGAATTTAAAGTAATCTTGCTATGGTCCAGAGCAATTATAATTAAAGTACTACATATTTTTCTCTGTTCTCTCAATTGTTCTTGTGTTGTTTCAAACTTGGCAACTTTAAGATACTCCCTGGGTTATGACTAATTTCCCTAGCAAAGTGCCATTTCAGTAACATTCTGTTTGCTCTGCATATAATGATATTATTCTAAAGATATACTTTATCTTGCATGTAATGTGGAATGCTGGTTTCAGTAGCCCCCAAAGCAATGTAGGTACTTTGAAAATAAAATAAAATAAGGTTTGTCCTTTGCAAACGGCAGTTAATGTTGGAGGGGGCTAATTTCAGCCAACTGAGCACCATGCAAAAGGACAGCCATTCTGTGAGCTATTTGCCATTACAATGACTTTCAACGCTTCTTAGAATCTCATGCAGTACTTTTCTTCTAATGATCACTAATTAACTCTGAGAACTTTACATTTTTCTCTCCACATTCTTCCTCGCTCTTTATCTTCTTTATTTTGTTTTCCTCTTCCAGGGGGAGAGGGGAATGCCAGGGCTGCCAGGAAAACAAGGAGTTCAGGTATTCTGCAAGGAATGGAGTCTGATTTACTCTAACCCATACCTTTCAATTGTTCTCCTATGTTTTGCATATGACTCCAACCTGGGGCGTGTATATGTTTCTTTTACACATATATAGATATATAGGTTGCATAGAAAGAGTTGCACCACTCTGTGACTCTTTAAAGCAGCTAGGTCTTCTCCCAAGGCCAATGTTGTTAGAGCAGAGAGCGGAACAAAATGGCACCTCAGAGCTGCCCAACCTTGGCAACTTTAAGATTTGTGGACTTCAACTCCCAGAATTCCCTAGCCAGGATGGAGAACTCTGAAAGCTGAAGTCCCCAATCTTAAAATTGCCAAGGTTGGCAACCTTATGCTAACATAGTTAAGTGCTACATCTGTCACACTAAAATCCCCTGCAGTTCTTTTATGGAATCGGATCCAAATCATTGCACATCATAAAGTTCAGTTTAGCAGAGAAAGAACAAAGAAGAAATGTTGAACAAATGGCATGTTCATTCCTGCATCTCCATTGTAGAAATAAGAACAAGGAAATTGGCATATTCTCAGATATGCACTGAAATTTCTATGTAATTCATTAATGTGACCACAAAACAAGTCAGGGATTTGTTTGGCCGTCATATATTACATTGTAGAAATGAACTACATTTGATGCAAGTTCTAATATTTTATTACTTTTTCGGGGATAAGAGTTGCACTGAAGCTTGCGCTTCAGTTTAAATCGATGTTTGGCTTAGGTTTAACCATCTGTACATCGGGCACTCAAGAACGCACATTTTCTAAAACATTTAATATTTTTTTTAAAAAAATCAAATATATCTATTTGACAAGGGCTGACATGCCATTTCTTCAATTAAATCTATCATCCAAAATTTGTTTCTCTGCCTAGCATCCTCCTCATCCTTCTAGCCCATAGGTACTAACCCTTACTCACCTCTGATTCGTTTCTTACTATTTCTTCCATCTGTTTATGACATAGAATTCCTGATTTCCATCTTCTGTCCTTGTGTTTTTTAGCTTTGTCCCTGATTTCTGTTTCAGAAAGTTGAGAGGTATGATCCTTCTCCCCTGTTCTTCTGTCTCTATCTGCCTGTTTCATTCCTCTTCTGGTTTGCAAGCTCTCCTCTCAATGATCTTCTGACTGGGCTCCTCCAGAAGCCATACCTTTGTTGTTCATCTTTTGCATGAAAGCCTCCAAACCTATTATCCCAGTTCTAACCACAAACCGTCCTACCTATTCCTATTTCTTTCCTTATGCCGACTCTTGTTATTCTTACTGAGACAGGGTTTTTTCAAACTTGGCAACTTTAAGACTTGCGGACTTCAATTCCCAGAATTCCCCACTCAGCATGCTAGGGAATTCTGGGAGTTGAAGTCCACAAATCTTAACATTTTCAAGTTTGAAGATCACTGGCCTAACAGATACTAAACACGTTACTAATTCGCAGAATATGCAGCTCTTTCAACAATATAGCCATAAAGAATTTTGCAGCTGGGTATGCCCTCATTTTGCCTCATCTATATGATTTTCTTAGTTGTTTTTGCTTACTACTTGGTATCATTTTTAAAATTCATGAAGCTGATTTCCTATTTTGTACTTTCTTCTATGGGGCTGTTCCCCACTGGGAGATGCAGTCAATTGGGACTGCCTGAAGCGGGCAGAAGAAGGTTTACCCCAGAGATGAACAAAATAATGTCAGCTGTTTTAACATTGCTCCTCATGTTGAGAAATATACCTAAGAGTCTGCTCATATAGGATTCATTTCCTTGCCATGTCCTTTGTAAGCACCTTTCAAATAGATTGAAATATTATAATCTAAATATTCAGAGTTGTCTTCTGGCCCTGATACACATGATGTATCATTTTTATCAGGCTCATCCAACTTTATGTGCAGCATTACATCCAGCATGGCTGTGGCCACCGTCATGACTTTGGGGAGCTTCCCCGTCCCCCATTTATTTCTCTGATTGTATTAGATAGACAGGGTGGGCTTCAAAAATTTTAGCAAGGGTTCTCTGCCCAGTTGCTGGGTGGGTGTAGTCATGGTGGGCGGGGCCTGGTCGGCCTCCTGAACCACAGTAGTGGTGGAGGGTATTTTTGCCTTCCCCGGACTCCGGAGGCTTTCCTTGAGCCCCTGAGAGGGCAAAAATGGTCTCCCAGGACTCCGGAGGCTCTCTGGAAGCCAGAAACAGACCCATTTCTGGCCTTCCCATTTCTGGCCTGCTTTTCACCCTCCCTGAGCTTCCCCACGTGCCCTGCACTTATCTGCATTCAAAACAGGCTGTGTGGGGACTCCTGAGAGGGATGGAGCCAGCCAGGAGTGGGATTTGGGAGTTCTCTGAACTGTACAGAATCTTAGCTAGCTTCTACCAAAACCCTGCAGCCCACCGAGAGGTGGGATTCAATTTTTTTAACAACCGGTTCTGTAGGCATGGCTTAGTTGGTGGGCGTGGCTTGGTGGTCATGTAACTGGGTGGACATGGCTTGGTGGTCATGTTATTGGCTGGGCATGGCCAATTCAATATATCACTCACATCAAGGCACGGATCTCCTCCCCTAGCCTCTCATGACTGTGGGGATGCTGCAACAGTCATAAGTGTGAAAAATGGTTATAAGTCACTTTTTTCAGTGCCATTGTAAGTTTGAATGGTCACACCACACAACCAAAGTACCAGCAAAGAAGGGGAAAAAAAACTCCAGAGAAGTTCCAGAGACTGGAAGTCTAGTCCTGCCAAGAATGTAATAAGGGTTAATGGAGAGGCAGTTTCTGTAAGCAACACCAGAATGTTTCCTTCCTGCCTTCCTTACAGGATTAGGCCAGTAATTTCGTCTAAGAACCAGTTCTCCAAACTGCTTAGAATGTTAACAACCGGTTCTAGCGAATAGGTGCGAACTGGTAGAATCCCACCCGAGCCCACCCCTGGATAGATATACTATTAAGTAGTAAAATTGTAAATTTGTAAAATTTTTAAAAATTGTAAAATTGTAAAAATAACCATTATGATAGATAGTATGATATAAAAGGAAGAACTAGATATTTTAACACATGCTTTAGCTCAGGATGCTCCAACCATGGCAATTTTAATACTTTGCAGTTCAACTCCCAGAATTCTCCAATCACCTATGCTGACTAGGGAATTCTGGGAGTTGAAGTCCACAGGTCTTAAAGTTGCCAAGGTTGGGCACCCCTTTTTAGATATTGATGAAGCTTAGACTTCCTATACCATAAGAATCCTAGTTAGAACTGGGTTTGGCAATTTTCTTGTCAGGATAATCCCCAAGAATTTTTTCTGGTAGATGAGCACCTATATATGTTTGTTTTAAAATGCTGTAGCACTTTTATATGAGAAAATAGAAAGGGAAATGCCAATGTTCTGGTTTTCTCTATATCTTACTCATTAGATATGTCTTGATATGTTTTTTCAAGGAATTACAAAGGAATAATAACTTTGGGTGCCCCATGTATTCCTCACGACTTCCACACACAAATTTAAATATTAATCCAAACTCAACTATCAACTTTCCTATTCTTCCAGATTTCATTTTATTTTCTAAAAAGTTGTTGATCCAGTTATAGCTGAATAAAATTTGACATTAGTGAATTTTCTGTGTGAGATTTAGTGGACTTTAAACAGATATAAATAGAATTTGAAAGAAATCTGAAATGGTCATGGACACAAAGTTTTTGACACAAAAAGTCCATTACACGGGGAAAGAGCTACCTCATTTTCTCAGTATATTTTTCCTTTTTTTTTTTCCTAATGCAGGGTGAACCCGGGAAACCAGGAGCAAAGGTAACACACTTTTAAAAAATTAATCTGTTCTAAATTTGTTCAGCTATATTTTATTTTAATCTCTTCAGTGGATCTGGTATTATAATAACCAGTATGTGAATAACCAATTAAAAATATGTTGGATATCAAATATGTTAGATATCAACTGGGATAGTAGGCTTCTTCTTGTTTGCTGTGTAGCAGAGGTCTCCAAACTTGGCGACTTTAAGACTTGTAGACTTAACTCCCAGAATTCAGTCAGCCATGCCGGCTGGGGAATTTTGGGAGTTGAAGTCCACAAGTCTTAAAATCACTGTTTGGAGACCACTGCTCTAGAGGGACAAAAAGGAGAGAGTTATCTCCAAATTATACTTACTACCCCCTTGTTCATTACTCATGCAGGGTTGTTCCTTGTTGGAATCTTTAGTCCTAAGAAACCTAATTAACTTATCGTGGGATCTTCCTTAGAGGAATAAGAGCTATTGTGGTGTGGCGCCTCATGTTTGAATCAAGAAATCCATCATTCATTTGTCTTACAATCTTAGCCAAACCACCATCTCTTAGCTCTTCTCTTCCTTTCCAGTCTACCTTAGAAAAATACTAACCGTAGTCCGTTTACAAAGATAATATATATGAATTGCTCTGACTGCTTCAAAGCATTATCCAAATATTATTATTATTATTTTTGAAAACAATTTTATTGGTTTTTTTAAAAACAAACAAAGCAGACAGAACATAAAAACATCAGCTCTCTTCCATACATATATACAAGCAGTGTGTCGGTTGGTCTATCAGCCTTGTGCATTCATTTCGTAGTCTCAAGTACAGTTACGTTACATAATAACTCGTATTATCAATCAAAACTTATATATCCTAGTATCACTATTAGAAAATCATTTGACTATAATTTTATTTATTCATACTTTATGAGAGATAACTATAATTTAGGTAGTTTATTCTATAACAAATCATATAGTCATACCAAATCTATCCTAAAAACACTTTATAGATATGATGTCAAATACCAAAAAAAAAGAAAAGAAAAGATATTTTTTATATATTCCTTGTTATCTAACATTCTAAATATTCTATTATTGTATTTTAGCATTATCCAAATATTATTGTGGTTACTATGCTTATCACTACTTTTTTTAAAATCATATTTTCATGTTGGTGCTCTTATTATTTATATCAGTATGATGCTTAGGTAGAGTGTTGGGTAGAAAAACATACTGCATACATATATATACCCGTCATATATAAGAGAAATCAATCTTAAGGGAAATGGAGAAAAGAAATATATTGTTTGATACAAAATGAATCTAAATTTATCCCTTGTGAAAATTGCTGAGAGAATTGCTGGGGGGAGGGGTGTTCTATATTTGGCTTTTGGATATATTGCACTACTTTTCATTATTCCTACATAATACCTACATTATTATGCCTTTTTTTTCCCTTACGAAAAAATAAAAAAGGGAGAACATGGAATTTCTGGGAAGATGGGCCCCCCAGGTTTGCCTGGAAAAAGGGGGTACAGGGTAGGAAAAGATACAAAGCTTGGATTTTGTTTGTCTGCATTGTCCTTCTCAACAACCCACGATTCTGATCCGAGTGCTGTGAGCTAAATTTTCCAAGTTTATTTATTTTATTTATTTATTTTTTCAAACGCTTACAATATAATAGAAATAAGAATAAACACAAGCTTAAATACAAGAAATTGGAACTAATAATTGGGGACAATAGGACAGGGACGGCAGGCACGATTGTGCGCTTATGCACGCCCCTTACAGACCTCTTAGGAATGGGGTGAGGTCAATAGAGGTTAGTTTGAGGGTAAAGGGGTGGGGGTTTGAGCAGGTGACAACAGAATCAGGTAGTGAGAAAGTTGGAAAGACATTTTTTCCACTGCTTACGTGGCTGAAATGTAACTGAAAAGTCAAGGCCACCAAAACTAATTTTATTTTTGATCAATTTCGTTTTTAATTGAAAGTAAGAAATAAATGTCTCGGCATGCTGAAAGCTTCATAGCAGTGTTATGATGTAGCATGGTTTTTGCATGGATTTATATCTTTCTATGTCCTGTGTTCTTTTATTCTGGGAAGGAAACATTATAAGATCTTTCCACAAGAATATGTGCTAGATCGATTCATTCTGGGCTGGCGTACAAACACTAAGATTCGTTACTCTCTTTAAGATTTCAAATGTTTTATTTATGCACATTTTTTTTTAAGAAAAAGTCATTTCCAATTAAATATGATAACATATTTTACAAGCATGTGTTTCAAAATCTTCAGGAATTCCTAGAAACAGATAATTGCCCTTTGTGGCCAAATAAAATCCTCTCCATGCAGTGAAAAACTAAATGCCTAAGCCCTTCCCCTCTGCAGCCCAGAAATTAAATTATAGTCTAGGTAGTTAGACCTAAGGCAGGGATGAGACTTTCATACGAGCACAATTATTTTTGTCAGATAATAGCAGTGCCTTGATTTTAGTGTCTACTGAGACTTATTAGTCACTTCCCTCCAGTGTTAATCTAATATGTTATGAAGATAAGTTAATGTACTTTTCTTCAACATTATTAATGAATGATAATGAACTGGTACATTACACTAATTCATAGAAAGTATGTATAATACATTAAAAGTGCTTGGGAGGGGGGAAAAGCTACTAACATTCACCCAAGGGTAACTTGGGTAAAAAGTTGGTCTAACGATGCAATATGTGGTGCCTCTCAAACATTCTAAAGATCCTGTGCTCTTCTGGAGGAATTCCAACCATGAATGATTTTAAAATAATCCCAAACATTCATGCCACTTATAGTGGGACTTAAAGTTATTTTAATCATTATGCAAATATATGCATTACAACAGTTTAAATTGAAGCTAGCTTGTCCCTGTCCGGGAAAGGCCAAGGTTGGTATTAGGCCTTTAATAACAATGATGGCAATTGGAGAACCTCTATGCTCCAAAATTTGGAGTCCAAATCTGTTCCTTCTAAAGTAATATAACCCCAATGGAAACAGGAGGTCAGCATTTCCTATATCTAGGATCTACTTATCAAAAGGTCCCCAAATTTTCAGGGCTCAGGCTAAATGTAATCCTAATGCAAACACCCACATTTTGATCACGTGACTGTCAGAATGCTCCAACCTTCGTAAGTGTGATGACCAGTTGTAAGTCACTTTAGTTAGTGCTTTCATAACTTCAAACACTCACTTAAGCAAATGGTTGTAAGTTGAGGACTACCTGTATGTAATTCGCATTATTTGTGCAATGACATCATGTTGAATGGGATATCAACTTTCTCCCCTCCCATCATAGATGCCCAAGCTCTCCAGGAAAAAAAGATACTAGTTTTTCCCTAACACCATCACTCTGCTAAACAAGTAATTCCCTCAACACTGTCCAACTATTTACAAAATCTGCACTACTATTACTATTAATCTTCTCATCACTCCTTTTCACCCACCCCCTCCCACTTATGACTGTATGACTGTAACTTTGTTGCTTGTATCCTAACAAACTGTTTCCTAGTATGATTTGATTGCTTATTGTACCCTATGACTATTATTAAGTGTTGTACCTGATGATTCTTGACTCTTGATGAATGTATCTTTTCATTTATGTACACCGAGAGCATTTGCACCAAGACAAATTCCTTGTGTGTCCAGTCACACTTGGCCAATAAGGAATTCTATTCTATTCTATTCTATTCTATTCTATTCTATTCTATTCTATTCTATTCTATTCTATTCTATTCTATTCTATTTCTATTTCTATTCTATTTCTATTCTATTCCAGTTTTGCTGAGAAATCCAGGTTGGATTTATTTTGAAAATCTGGATTTTCTTCCTGATTAAAGCTTTTAAGAGGAAAAAATAAACTATGAAGAGGATGTTATATTATGCTCTTTTTCCAATCCCCATTACAAGATCAAATAAATCATAGCATCTGGTGTCTGTTCTTACTGGTTTTTCTTCAACAGGGTGAGAAAGGGACAACTGGTGATCCAGGACCTTCTGGAACCATGGGGCAAAAGGTCTGTTTTGTTATCTAAGTGGGGAATAAGGAGAGTGGCATATTTTATTTTATTGAAAGCCAAAATATTAATTGCTGGGCATCACATATATAAAAATATATATTTGTTTTCTTAAGTTTTCATGGGTACTTACATGTATGGTATTCAGTTTCATTCGGGTATTTTCCCACATCATTATAGTTGTGCTTTTAAAGTTGTAG